GACGTCGTCCAAAAAATAATGTTACGGAAGAGTGGAAGTCAGCCGGAGGGGCACATGTCACTAATTACACCTTTTGGGATGTATGAAAGGTGGAAGAAAAAAACCAGGGGGATATAAAAGTCATAAATAAACTAAACAGGGGTGGTCCATTCAATACCCTTCCGGAAATAGGTAAAGAATGGAGAACCAACCGTGAAATCTCTCTTTTTGACCAATTATTTCAGGAAATATGACGACGCAAAGGAAAAACGAGTTATTTAGGAAGTATGGGTCATTGGAGTATTGCAAAAATAGTAGTGACATAGCACACAGATCGAAATGTCAGAAGAGAGATTCAGAATAGAGTGTTGCAAAATGTATCCAAAATTTTGAGTGACAAAAAAGATCAGATCATTTCAGAAACCTAGAAAGTCTTTATAAAGGCTGAAACTGCATTTGAGAATTGTGTCTAACCAAAAGATTCCAAAAATTCGGAAAATCCTTAAAATGATTATTTGTCTTTATGGAAAATTCTAGATCTTTTTATGAATGTTCTTTTTAAACGACGATATTACTCTGGTCTAATTTCAAAGCACTTGCAGTCGCAAATTCTACGGTGGGCGGAGCTTAGGTCCGGTAGTGAAATCCTTAAAGGTACATTTAAAGGAACATGTATTTTTGTAATCAATTTCTGGTCTATTTCTTCAGATTTTTCGATGAATTTTATCCATTTTGAACGGTTTTTTAAACAAAAATCAGAAAAAAACGTAAAAATTCGTAAAAACTATGAGAACTATTGAAAAAATCGAAGAAATTCGTCGAAAAATTGAAAAAAAGTAGGCCAGAAAATAATTCCGAAAATACATGCTTTTTTATCGAATTTTCGACCAAAGAGCGTATTGAAATTAGAGTAATATCAAAAATTCGTCAAGCCGATGAATAGGTTTAAAACCACATTCAAAAATTTCGTCTCAAAATATCAGAAAGTATCAAAAGCTACAAAAATATAAAAAAGAAAAAGGTGTTGAATTGATAAGAATGAAACGGGGCTGCCGACAGGTGTCTTCTTTTTGCGTGGATGGTCCTTCGAAGTAGAAGAGAAGGGGGTGGTGATTGATTGGAGACGGGCGGTCCGAGAAGTTAAAAAAAAGAGCAACTATTTTCTTTCCGTTTGACTCCTTCCTCCACAGATTATGTTGCATTTGATAGATTCCTCTCCAAGCTCTTCCTCCCGGGGGGATAACGGGGAAAGGAAGCAGAAGGATTCGAGAAGAAGGAAGAACTACCCTAGGTTTTTGGTCTGGCAATCGAATGGGAAGAAGAAAGTTTTACGATGCTTCGAGTGAGAGAAAGAAAATGCATGACGTGGAAATGGGATCATTGACTCAAATAATTAGTCAAGAGGAGGATAGGTAAATGGGAAGAACCCCGGAGATTTTGAACATTTTCATGATAATGGTAAAAATCGTAAAAAACGAAAGTGGTTCGTTTCAGAAAATGGGGTTTGAAAAGCTTTCAGAAAGATCCCTGACAACTGAAATTCTGAAGTTTACTTAGTCATAAGTTGGATTGACCAGTTTCAGAATCAAAAATCTTGAACCAATGAAAAAACAAAAGGGTCTCCAACATTGCTAACTTTTTTACCTCGGTTACTGTAAAAGATACCAAAAAGTGGTCAACTGAAAACATATTTATCATATTATCACCAATATTGTTACAGTTGATTACTTTTCGATATCGTTCACAGAAAATGAGATAAATTGGGTCAAATTTAATAATTATTAGTGTTTTGATTAATACCTTTCTTATGTCAAAATTCATTGAAAATCAGCTCCGACCCTATTTTTATTTTTAGTTTTGAAAAATAAAAGTTAAAAATTTATCTAGGATCATCTCTCAAACCGATCTGCTCCCATCAGCCGCCAACTGTCACATTCATCCAATTGATACACTCGCACCAAAAAGACATCTTTTTCCAGTTTGCGTGACAGACTCAAGACTTTCAAAAAAGTCACAAAATCACTCGAATCCTATTTAGAAGGGAAGACCCATAAAAGAGACAAAATAAACCAAGCATGTTAATTGGTTCGTCAACTCTCTCTGGGTTCTATCTTTTTCATCAAATTGAGGGAAAATGAGAATTCAGCAAAAGGGGTTTTTAAAGATGGAGAAAAAAAATGACAAACGAAAAAGAAAAAAGAAAGATCGAAGGAAATGGAACGGAAACGAAATTGAAGTGCTTTGATGGGGGTAAAAGAACTCCGGGGGTCCGAAATGAAGTTGGGGGAAAAGTCGAAAAGTACTTTGAGGAAACCATGATTTTTATTTTACCTGTTGGGCAGATTCAAGAACTAAAGAGGCTTTTAGCTGGATTAATACTATAGTTGAGAAATCAATATCCCGGCCCGGTGGATCTAAATTTTTCACACTTAAATTGAATTTTCAATTTCAGAAATTGTTTCCAATTTTTTTTGTAAAAATGTTTGTAATGACACTCCGTTCTTGACAAACTCATTATATGACAGAACTGACAACCTGGGCCTTGAAAAAGAAAAAAAAGTTATTTTCCGTTTTCGAATTCTAAAAAGTAAGAAAAATATATTTAATCAACATGCATTCTTCAAACCTTGACATAGAAACTCACATAGAACTATCTTCAGAATCTGAAGAAATTTCAAGTTACCGCTAAAAAGCTCTGTATGAGAATTTCTCCATATTTTGAATAGAGCATTTGCCAGATGCAAAAATATTGGCAGGAAAAAAAACTGTTCAGGTGAAAATATCACTAAAAACGATGCAGTCTGTTCTTCCCAAAACAAACGATACTGATGGTCGTCGTCTTACTCAAAAAGGAATACATAGGGAACGGAAATGAAAATATGATTGGTGTACGGATGGCACGAAGAGGAACTTGAATGAAAAGAGAATAGGTTGGCGTGTGGTGGTAAAATACGAAAACACATTCTCTGTTTTTTTTTTTTGGTATATAATTGCGTTTTTATGATTGTGAACATCCTCTTCGTTCTCTTCCTTTTTTGATGAATTCATTCAGAAGACGAGATGAAGTGTTGGAAATGGAAAAGAGAGAAGGAAGGGAAAAGAAGAATAGTTCGAAATCATGTGTTTCGAAAAGTGTACGGAATAATTTGGGTAAAAGAGAGAATGAGATGGGGAGAGGGGGATAAGAAAAAGAGTAAAGGTCGGAGGATACTTGAACTAAATAATTCGAAATATTGGACAGTTGGTAGTATGGTTTTGAAATACTCTGGAAGAAAATAAAGAGAGGAAGTTTTTTGAATTTTAGATCGTAATTCTCAAAAAAGCAAAACTACCGTAAAACCCGTAAACTTGAGCTGAATTTTCTTGGCTTCTATGAATGATATCAAAAAGTGGCCAGCTGGTCCTCCATACTGCCAACTTTGACCTAATTTACCTCGGTTACTGGAAGAGATATCAAAAATGTGTCAACAAATAAAATGTTTCTAATATTATGATAAACAGTTTATCAGTTGACAACTTTTTCATATCTTTACCATGAACCGAGATAAATTGGCTCAAAATCAAAAGTTAAACCCTCTATAGGTTTTACGGTAATTGAAATCGGTGACAGTTTTTCATTCAAATTTTGTTAACTTTTTAGTACTGTCTTCTTACAATGACCTCAATACGATCCTAGATTTTTGTCCTAGATACCATCGAAATTTGACAATAAATCACACGATTTCAAACTGACAACGAGTGAAGAAGATTGAGTGAAAAGAGAGGAAATTGCAGGACACGCACTGACCGGTTTTCTCCCATTTATACCGTTTTTCGGTCCAACGGAAAAGATGAGTTATATGATGAAATGGGAAAGAAAAACTTGAACAGAAGAAGCTAGTCTAGATAGTTTTTGAAGAGCAGACAGTGAATCATATGGGACAGTTTCAAGTGGGAAAATGCAAAAAAAGATTGGAAGTGTTGATACAGTCATAGTTGTCTGACTAATTGGGCGATGATATCAGTTGAAGTGACCTCGGAATAGGGGAAAATGTGAAATAAGGGAGAATGGCCAATTGGCTTCTCAAACAAAAATCCCATGAAAAAAGGCAGTGGAAAGAGAAGCAAAGCTTGTTTGCAAAGAATGTTTGTACTCACTTCAAAAGATTTTATATTTTGGTTTTTTTCGTTCAAACGGACTATTTACTTTTCAGGTATCTACTTTTATCAATTGAAAGAGCTCTCGAATTAGTTTGTCGGTTTCATGAAAAGGATGGAAAAATTGGCTAATATTTCAGAAACATTTTTTCCAAGTTACCGTAAAACCTGTAATAGGAGGAACTCACACAGTCAAGTTTAAGCTCAATTATCTCGATTCCTAGGCAAGATTTAAAAAAAATGTCAACTGACAAAACACTCTTAATATTATGATAAACAATTTGTTAGTTAACAAAATCTTCATATCTTCGACAGGAATCGAGATAACTGAGCTCAAAGTTGACGGTTTCAGTGGGCTTCTATTAGAGGAAATACGGTAATTTTACCTCGATTGCATCGAAAGTATGTTCTCTATTTGAAGTACTTCAATTCCAAATTTTGTGTTTTAGCAAAATAATTTATTTCTTTTCCCTTTTAATTACAGAAAATACAAATATATACATGAAACTCGAGGACGATCCTAGAGAAGAATAATTATCCGAAAAATACAAATTTCTGTGGAACGACCGGAAAGATGGGCGGTACGAATGCAAATGACTGTTGACTCGAAGTGTACCGTTTAGTACTTGGACACGTGGAAGAAGATGTTGAAGTCGTTGAGCTATGCGAGTAGCTCGACGATTTTCTTTTTTCTTTGTTTTGTTGTTTTGGCATGATTTCAGAATCTGAAAAAATACAGTATTTCAGCGATTTAAAGGAATATACTCACCAGTTAGCTTTTGATAGTTGAATGTGTTTTGTTGATTTGAATTATCTTTATCAGCAACTTCGTCAACCTTTTTATATACCGAGAGAGACTTTTTCCACATGACGACGGTCAACTGACACTGCAACAAAAACAACATTATTAGACATTGAATCAACAAAAAATAGAAGAAGTTACCAGAAGGAGCAGGCAAATATTATTCTGTAAATACAGTCAGATGGAAGTTCTCCAGCTCGTGAGAGCTTTGTTTATATACTAGGTGGCCTTTGGAGGAAATAAAAAACTTACGTGTGCGGAAAATACCGGAAATTGAATACGGAACGGGAGGACGGACAGAACAAAAAGACAAATATACGAGGTGGTCAAATAAAGGAAAGAATGACGAGAATGGGAAGCCTATGACGTGGTGTAGGAGATCAACTGATTTTTGAAGAATCCCGGGGGCTGTTTTTGTGATGTTAGCTGATTGAGTAGAAAGGTAAACTCTCAGAAGTACTCCTACACCTTTTTCCTATTTTTCGTTATCCTGATTTGTTAGTGCTTTTTCAAAGCCAAAAAATAGGTGTTCTTCTATTACAGGTTTTACGGTAGTTGTACCTTTTAGAGAGTACATAATTTAAAATTCAAACGAATGGTTTACTGATATTAGATTCAAAAACATTGATAGGATGGAATTGGAACCAGAGGATTATTGACAATCAAATGGGAAGATGCTGATTGAGATGGATTTGGAGGTGGTGGAGGTGGCGGTACAGTGGATGGTTGATAGAAATAGGTTGGATAATCGAGAAGGGTTTTCATGTAAGGGAATGTTGGTTGAGGAGAAAATACAGATGGCATTTGAACAGGCTGAACTGTTTGGAAAGAGGATGGAAGAGATGGACGGTAATCCACAAGAGAATGATCAGGGGCGCATGTGGCGATTGGAGCCGGAGCCGAAGTCAAGATCGGCTGACGTGGAAGAATCGGTTGAGGGGGACGAGGCTCGGGTTGTTTTATTTTTTGAGCAATTCTCACTGGAGTTGGAATTATTGGACCGAGAGTTGCATTGATCACAGATGAGGGAACTGTGTCGGAACTTTGGAGAAGTTTGAGAAGAGTTTCGATGTAGGAGATTGCTGCATTTAGAATACGCAGCTTGCTGACACGTTTCGTGAATTGGCGAAGACTTGGAAGATGTTGTTTCAGAACGAGGAACGCCTTAAAAAAGGAGAATATAGAAACCAGATGTTCTAGACAGTTGAAATTGATTTCCCTATGAATCTGATTATTTCGAAGCCTGTACTTGATTTCAAACCACCTTCCTCAGATGTTCTATCACCTGCAAACGGGCTGAATTTTTGATATTTGGACGTCTGAAACTGTGAAACTAGAACAATTTAACCCCCGATGGTGCAGGTGACAGAAACGATTTCTGTCTATAATTTCAGCAGATTATACGGTACCCCTCTTACCTGGTTCACAGTATGCACACGAGTCCTTTCTCTAGCATTTCTCTTTGCCACTACCATTGGCATTTTGATAGAAATTCTGAAAATAGTTTGTTTCGAAAATAACTTCTGAAGTTGGTTCTCACCTCGGATATCTCAGCTACCGAAAATCAGCGTCTTCTGAATATACAAAAAACCTAGAAGCCAGTCATATCCAAGACACGGGCGGCTCTTTTTGTTTGGGATTCATTTTTCACCTGTTCCATCGAAAAGCGTTAATTGAATTTTGGATGAGGTGACTCTCTCGCGAAGACGGAGGAGGATTACGGTAATTATTAGCTTACGTAATCGGTTTATTCTTGTTCGGAAAAACAATAATTATTAGGGTTAGAATTATTATATCAGGGGGCACACAGAAAATGAGAGTGAGATATGAGTAAGAGATGAGAGGGAAGAAATTAACAAAATGGAATAAACTGAAAAAGAAAGTAAAGAATTAAGGAACCCGTATGATAGATAGTGCAGTACTAAACAGGGAGAACTGGAAGTGCAAGAATAGAAAAAGAAAAATAGATGATTAATTGAAGAAATAGATAATAGAGGACAAGAGGAATGCAAGGGATACAGAATATTCAAATGATCCATTCTCGTTCTCTTTTTTGACCATCATCCATCCTTCCGTTCCTTCTTCCATTCCATATTCGTCAGCTTCTGGAAAAAGTCTTAGTTTCGAAATTTTAATTAAAATTTTTGTGATACTAACATGACTATCCGCTTTTGTAAAAACGTATTTCCTTTAATAAACCGGCATCACCTACCGTCTATGTTACTTTTTTTCTCAATTTTCGGAATTTTTTATTTTCTGAATTACTAAATTTCTGAATTTCCGAATTTCTGAACTTTTAAAATTCTGTATTCAAAATTTTTGGGATTTCTTAATTTCTGAATTTCTTAATTTCTGACTTTTTGAATTTCTGAATTTTCGGTATTTTCAAAACTTTCAATCTCAGACTTTCTGAACTTCTGATATTTCAAATTTCTGAATTTCTGGCGATTTAATTTTTTTCTAGGAGTTTTAAATAGAGGAAAAAAAAATACCTTCTGTTTTTGGTGTAGCATCTTCGTCCATTTTCTTTGCGCTCTCATCCCAATACTCATCGTCTTCACTGTAAAAAATTTTATTTAAAAAATATTCTTAGAAACTAATTTCAATAAATCATTTTTGTCATAGCATAGAAAATCTATTGGAATTCAGAAGACCAACTTATACTTCTATTTTGAGCTCAGTTATCTCAACTTCTATTAGAGATATCAACAATGTCTCAACTGATAAAATGCTGATGATATTATGGCAATCATTTTATCAGTTGAGATTTTTTGATGTGTATAGGGTATGCTTCCATTAGAGTGTTTATGGTATTTCCCAAAAAATCAAAAACTCACATTGGATGTTCCTTGACAGTCTCATCAACAGCCTTATTGAATACATGCTTAATTGAGTCAATCAACTTTTCATTCTCTTTTCTCAAATGTTCTTCATCATTAGTCTCCGATTCCTGATCCTCCATTTCATCCTTTTCCATAACCATATCACTTCCATCATCACCTTCTCCCATTATTTCTTTCTTTTCCTCAACCATTGGTTTCATTTTATTTGTAGATGCTGTTGTAGTTTTCTCTACATCATCATCTGTTTTATCAGTTTCGTATCCTTCATCATACTCATCTTCTTTTTCAGCAACTTGTGGATAATCTTCATCTCCTTCATATTCAAATTGTTCATTCATTGACTCGGTTTTCTTATTTTCCATCTCTTTTTGAGCTGTCATTTCAGATTCCTGCCTGCGTCTCTCTTCCTCACGAAGTCTTGCTTCTTCAGTCTCCCTTTGAGCAGCCAATCGTCGTGATTCCTCCTGAAATCAGAATATGGTGATACGGTAACACTGCATTCAAAATACCTCTTTACGTCTCTCTTCCAATTGAGCTCTTTCAGATTCGTGTTGTCTGCGTCTCTCATCGTCACGTGCTCTCTGTTCTTGGATTCTTCGTTCAGCTTCGGCTCGTTGTTGCTCACGTCGAGCAGTTTCCTGAAAAGTTGGGGTTGAAATAGAAAATTTGAATAGTGAACAAGATGGAACAATGAGCAAAACAGCTTTCTTAAAAGACTTCTCACTGTGAAACCTGTAATAGAAGGACCCCTTGACTTTTAACTTTGATCCAATTTATCTTGGTTCTTGTCAAAGATATTAACAAATTGGCAACTGACAAATTGTTTATCATAATATCAGCAATGTTTTGTCAGTTAGCACATTTTTGATATATTGCATGTGAATTGAGATGACTGAGGTAAAACTTGACAGTGTGAGGACCCTCCAATCAGTATTTACGGTAAGTGCTTCCAGTTTGAGCCAATCATATTTTCAAATTCTTTAGCTTTAGGTGGCTTCGAAAGAACCTTTCCGTTGAATTAGTAAATATTGTAAAAAACGAAAAAGATAACTTCACTTTTGTAGTTGACAAGTTGTCAGTACGAAACCTTCCTGAGCAGCCGCATCGAAATACAGGATCCCAAGTTTGGAAAAAAATTATCTCGGGTTTTTCCAGAAAAAAGTGTTTTCCTAATCCTAATCAAATCCTAATCAAAGACAAATTTCAATTTTCAGACAAGCCGAATGAAGCCTAATCGGGTTTGAATGTTTTTTCAAACTTTTTGTTCAATCGTTCAATAAAAGTTCAATAAAAGAATCAAAACTTGATAATGTTGGGACACTAATTGAAAAATGTTATATTACAAGAGTTTCCACAAACTCAATTTGAATAAAAATTCTTCACATAAATTATATTGTCTTCCTTCATTGAATTCCAATTAACATCCTCCCTCATTACCACATTTTGGCCCTTTGATCCCATTCACAGACCGCCCGAATATCTGCTCTCAATCTCATCTCAATCACAAAATGCACCTCCCGTTGGAAGGGAGTGGAATGTGTTCAAAACAAGTGTCTACTTTCTCTGACAGCTCACTTTTGATCATCTTTCTGATCCACACCAACAACTGTTCCTTTAATTTCTCTGTTACCTCTCTCCAATACTGTTCGTGTTGTTGTCGACGTCTCTCCTCATCAGCTGCCTTCTCTCGATCTTCTTTTTCTTTTCGTGTCCTTTCAGCGACTTGTCTCTCATACTCACGTTTCCTCTCCTCGTCACGTCGTCGAGCTTCTTCACGATCCACTTCGGATTCTGGAATTTAAGGAATTTATCACATTGAGCAAGAGCGATTGGCAGCATGTTTTGTGGCTTTTTTCTTTGACAAGACTACGTCATCAATCAACAGACAAAGAAGAGAAAAAGAAATAGAATAATTGAATTTGAAATAGTTGGTGGGACATCTTCTTCCATCCAACAGAAGCCTACTCAAACTGCCAACTTTGAACTCAATTATCTCAATTCCTGTGGAAGATATCAAAAAATTGTCAACTGATAAAATATTAGTGATATTATAATAAACAGTTTGTCAGTTGACAAACTTTTTATATCTCTTACAGGAAAAGAGATAAATGAGCTCAAAGTGGACGGTACGGTAAGTGGGAACGTAATTTGGAAAGAAAACCAGAATGAAGGGATAAAAAATACTGTTACAAAAAGCAATTCTAAAAACTTTGGAAGATACCAATAAGATTCCAATAGAAAGTTGTCGATCTATGAAAAACTTACGCTGTTGTAGGTTTTTCGGATGAGCTGGTGCTTCTTCTACTTTAGACTCCGTTGTCGTTGTTTCCATATCTTCTGGAGTGGGAACTGAAATTTCAATTCGTTCTCAATTTTCAGTTTTCGAAATCACCTTTGACTTGGCACCTGTCTCCAGTAAAAACTCCCAATAGGCAGATGCATGAATGGAAATCTGGCCGCTCCAGATCATAAACACACATTCCGCCATTTTCACATCTGGAGAGAGAAAAGAAAGGATAATTGGTGTTGTATTATTGTCGACAGTTTAGGGCATTGTGTAATTACCTGATTCTACAATGGGATTGCGGTGATACCAGACTCTGTCCACCACAATTGATAAGACCGACATTGAAGGCGAACATCAAAAGGAATAGCGATATCCGAGAATTCATTCTGAAGAGAATATTGATGATGAAGTGAGAAGGTTTAATATGGAAAATGGAGAAAATACAAGCATTTTTAGACGAAATGGAGCAGACTTCAATAGAACGGAACTTCCGAATCGCATAATCAAACTCGGTTGTTTTGGTTATGATTTTAAAAAACATGTCAAAAATATACTATTGAAAATGATGTAAAAGATATCAAAAATTTGTCAACTAAAGAAATGTTTGGTATAATATCAATAAGAGTTTATCAGTTAACAACTTTTTGACAGCTTTTACAGAAAATGAGATATATGAGCTCAAAATATGCATATCTTGTGGGCTAAAAAATTTACTATTGAAATGTCTTCCGTAACATCAAAAATATTTAGGTTAATAATTTTTTATATCCCAAATAAAAAACTGTATAATTAGATTTCTGAGAAATTACGGTTATGGAGAGAAGGGTTAGTGTAGAATGGAATGAATAGGAAAGAAAGGGATACGGTAGAAAGCAATGCATGAATATAATTAAAAGATTTTGCTAAATCATAGAGAACTGGAACTCACAAAACCATAACTTTATTTATGCAGTATCCAGTATTTTTTCCAGAAATATGTACATCTGAAATTCTACTAGTTTTTGAAAGTATGGACCAGAAAAAATAGTAGAATTAGTAGAAAAACTATTGAGAGCATTATGATTATCACACCGTCTAGTACAAACTAATTAGAAAAACATTTTTCTTCTTTCTCTCCCCATCCCACTCTTAAAGAACAAGAAGGGCCCAGTGATGAATCAGTTGCGACATGTTGTGAAGATTCGGGATTCTCTCGTCCGTCCCGCCGCCACTAAAACACGCAAAATGAGCCATCGATGGGAGTCTGATTCTCTCCGAAACATTTGATCTTTTCCCCTTATCCCCGGGATTCAAAATGACGAAGGGACGACAAGTGGCTCCTGGACGGGAAGAAATAAGAAGATGAGAAGACGAAAAGATGTGTCCACTACTTTTTTTTCTATCTCTCCGGTTTATACCCAGGTTTTCGTAATACTGAACTCGGAATTTGAAACTACTAAGACTTGGAATATGGCACACTAACGGCCACCTACAACCTTTGTCGAGCTAATAAAACCTAGTACGAACAGGTGCTCGAAGAGAGACTCGAGGTGTCCCTCGGATGACCCGCGCGGTCCTCTTTTTTGCCAACGGACATTTTTATGATTAGGTTATGAGTAGAGAAGAAGAAAAGTTAGGGTTGCCTAGTTTTTCAGAAAACAGAATGGCAAACTGGGCTGATTGAGGAATCGTAAAATGTGTGGACTGAGTGAACAAATACTCATCAGATTCACAGGCCTTGTTTACGATTGAAAAGCGGGAGAAGGGTAAGGTGGAACAGGTGCCGGATAAGAGAACTACTACAGTAAGCTAGATTAGGGGATATGTGGTTTTGGAGAAAGACAAACAATCCGGCTGATGAAAGAGTGGAAAGGAAACAGCCGGGAGGTGTAAACGCGGCAGGATGTGCGAGATGTGGCGAGATGATGAAGGAGTGCTGATGGAGAAGAGTTTACGAAATCCTCCTTGGTGACTGTGAAATTGATGCGACACTTCCGAATAGCCAATTGATGAGAAGTAGGGAAAGAGAATGAAAAAGAGGGAAGGTGGCCCGATGATACTCGACCTAGATAATATCGTGGTTAGTGGGTACTCGGAGATCTCGGAAAGAGCACGTTTTAAAGTAGACAGACCTGTTGGCACTCGGCCAACCAACCTGGGGTCACCTCAATAAGCTGGCTTAAAGGGGGCGTCCACTAATTCCAAAATTCTGGATCGATTGATATAAAAATCTCAAAAAATTTTTGGAATTAGTGGACGCCCCCTTTAAGGCTGCCGAGACAACGCCCCGAAGTGCTTTTCTCCCAGATCAAGACTTCGTTAGAAAAAAATAGTCCGATTTTATCTGATATCAAATCAGAAAAATCTATCTTAGTCATGAACAGATGTCACCTCCGCGGTTTGCAAGCAATTCATTTTCGTTTTGGTGAGCAGATATCACAATCAACACAACACATAAAACCCACATTACACAACTCTAGCGGAGGTGCACTTGTTTATCGCACAATGTTTTTCATTTTTTGTAATAGAAAAAGATCTGAGTGATTGAACTGGAACTGCTTTTATTATGAAATTGAATATATAATGTGCAATTATTCCTTGGTAGAAATCTTGTACCCGAGAACGGCCTCCTCTCCGCAAGCAGCAACGACTTGAACCTGTAACAAGAAAGTTAGGGATAAGAAAACCCCGAAATGTATCTCACCAAGACGCTACCGTCGTCTTTCTCGAGAGCTTCGCGAATGGAGTTACCCAAATCTCCTTCTGGCATCTTCAAGTCGTCCTTGAGATCGCAGGACTCAGGATCCATGAGAGAACAGAAGCCGTCTTCTTCGATGGACATGAGCTGAAATTTTTAATAAAACTTTGAAATAACACTCGGAAAGGAATTAAATCAGTCTATGTAATTAAAATGTGCCTGGTGGTAATTTTATGAGCGGGAACGCTTTGACTTACGATGTACTCGCGTCTCTTGACAACTGGGACGTCCATGTTGTGGGTAGATGGGCAAATGTCTTCAAGTTTCTTGGAAGTGAAGATGTCGATAGCGACAAGATGGACCTTAGCGTGTCCGTGCTTGCCAGTCTTAGATGTGCTCATCTCGACGATCTGAAAACAAAGAAATATTAAAAATCACTAGTGGGAAACCCGAACCTTGCATGGTCTTCCTCGGATCATAACGTGCTCGTTCTTACGGAGAGCCGAGCATTGCTTTGGGAAGGTGGCAGCAGCTCCGGACTCGGCCGATTCGAATTGCTCCTCGTCATGATGATCCTCCGACATTCTGAAAAAATATAAATTGAAAGAAGCTAAAAACAAAAAGAAACGGTTCGCCTGCAGCATAACAGTGAAGAAAAAGTCAGAAAAAAGAAGTCGAAATCTAGACTGTTCAAAGGTGCTGCGGACTTGCTGTGTATCGTAATGCTTAATGAGTCGCTACGCAGCGAAATTTTAAGCGCCAATTCAAACTTTCCAAACTTTTCCGGCGAAATCACCTTTTTCCTTCTTTATCGTTCCACGATTTTTCGTTAATTTTATTCTCGCTGATTAGTATATGCAAGTGCCTAATTGTGTTTCTGATAGTAAGTTGTCGTCCACAACTCGGAGTTCCAGTGTTTCTTCCGAGTTTGTGTTTTTAATTTTGAATCGGGCTAACAAGTTTCCGGAAGTTCGCTCCTACGTTTTGAAATTACAACAGAAAAAAAACGGTTCTGCCGAAAGCACTAAAAACTCAAATTTTTCTGAATTTTGCGCCAGAATACGGTTGTCCCAGTGAGATGAAAACACGATTTCCGGAGAATCCTATAATTTGAAACACATTCCACTAGACCTACAGGACTCTAGTCGGTCCGTCTGGTCATTTTACTTTTTTATTTGTACAGGTCCCATTTCTTGCCAAATTATCTATCGATTTCCCCCATGCATTGCAAATAAATATATTATTATTATTATCCAGTTGGAAAAGTACCGGAAATGCAACAATCAGCAGTGTGTTTTTTGAATTATTTATTTAATTATTTTCTCGTTAAGGTGCTTCAACTTGGGTCTGTAAATTGAACAAGAATCGCCGAAATTTGTGAGAAAAATTCCGCAGAAAAAAAGTTAAATTTCGCTGATTTTTCGGAATTAATCCAGTACGCTAGAAAAGTTTCCAGACAAGATTGGGACGCAAGTTCAAAACGATTTTTGTAATGTACCTCCTATCCTCCTTCAAAACAGGCACTCTGATCATCCAGCCACCGAAACCCAAATTTCGATTTTTCTTCGGTACCTTCCCAAATTTCGGTGGAAGCCTCATCAGAATAGAATAAGAAAAAATATGTAAATGCTTGTTTTGAAAAAATAGATATCGGTTGAAAGGAACACTCTGTCTTTGCTATTTTATGAGCTTTATATTCATTGATTTCCATCATAGGTTGCTTCGCCATCCCCTGTAAAATTTCATAACTGTTCCCATGTGCAATCTTTCCCAAGTATTGCTTTCAATTTCTGAATCGCAGCGTTAAAGGCGCACATACTTTCTTTCATGGCGGGTCTCGCACCGACATTCCCCCTCTTTTTGGCGGCAGTGGGATAGATTCAAAACGTTTCCCGTTTCATATATAAGCTTTTCAGCTTTTGTTCCGCTTTTGTTCTAGTAGCAATTGTAGCTAATTCCAGGAGATATGACAGCCATTCGCAAGAATGACATGAATTATACCCTCGATGATTTCACAAAGTTGGAGAAGATCGGAGAGGGAACATACGGAGTTGTCTACAAAGGAAGGAATAGAAGAACCCAAGCGATGGTTGCCATGAAGAAAATCAGACTGGAGAGTGAAGACGAGGTGATTCGAATGATATGTTCTTTTTTACGTTTATTTTTCACAGGGTGTTCCATCCACTGCCGTCCGAGAGATCAGTTTGCTGAAAGAGCTTCAACATCCAAATGTTGTTGGATTGGAAGCTGTCATAATGCAGGAGAATCGTCTTTATTTGATCTTCGAGTTCTTATCGTACGACTTGAAGCGCTACATGGATACATTGAGCAAAGAAGAATATCTGCCATCAGAAACCCTCAAAAGCTACACTTTCCAGGTAAAATATGTTCTCAGGACATGTGTTTATATTTAATCGTTCTAGATTTTACAAGCAATGTGTTTCTGCCATCAGCGTCGTGTAATTCATCGGGATTTGAAACCACAGAACTTGCTGGTCGACGAGAAAGGAGCAATCAAGCTGGCCGACTTCGGCCTCGCCAGAGCCATCGGAATCCCAATCCGTGTCTACACTCACGAGGTTGATAGCAAAATTTTTCTTTCAAAATTTTCAAAATTCTTCATTTAGGTGGTCACTCTGTGGTACAGAGCCCCAGAAATCTTGATGGGGGCCCAACGGTATTCTATGGGTGTCGATATGTGGTCGATCGGATGCATCTTCGCTGAAATGGCTACCAAAAAGCCTCTCTTCCAAGGAGATTCGGAGATCGACGAACTCTTCCGCATCTTCAGAATTCTCGGTACGCCAACTGAGCTCGAGTGGAACGGAGTCGAGTCTCTGCCGGATTACAAAGCTACTTTCCCAAAGTGGCGCGAAAATTTCCTTCGCGACAAGTTTTACGATAAGAAATCTGGAAACTACTTGATGGATGAGGACGCATTCTCTCTTCTTGAGGTATATCACATGCTCCATTGATTTGGGTAAAATATTCATGCTTTCAGGGTCTCCTGATCTACGATCCAGCTCTCCGCATAAGCTCCAAGAAAGCGCTCCACCACCCATATTTCAACGACATCGATACTTCCAAGTTGCCGGCCGGAAACTATCGAGGAGAACTTCAACTTGAATAATGTAACTGTTTTAACTCTTCCATCTCTAATACTTCCCGCTTTTCACCCAATTATCATTTCCGTGTATTGTTCAACTACCATTTCCCTATTCTTTCCCATGCTTAAATCGACTTTAGAATCTTTTCCAGAAGATCTGTACGATGTGTATTTGACCTCAAGCTATTTTATAAGTATTCTCTCTTTTCAAACGCGATTAATAAATCGCTCTCAAAATACGTGTCATTTATTTGTTTACAAGCAGAATGATTGCTGCAGTGATCCCAATATACGTCATCGTACTCTGTAACATCTCTCATGTAAGCTCCGATTACGTAGTGCACATTACACATGTGTAGACAATTTAGATAGTTCTGGCTATTTTTTTCTTTCCGTCAATCGTAGATTTTCTCGATGATCTTCACTGGGGGTTCACTCATCGATCGTGGTTCATTGAGTATGTAGGTGATACTGAAATCAGCTGGAAAGCGGTAAGATAGGAGTCTAGTAGCAAGTCAGAAAGCCTTTGTAACTCTAGAAAAAGTTTATCAGTCACTCTAATGAATCTATTCTCATGGATCGAGCAGATCTTTATGAGAAGAACGAAGCTGTCGCCCAACAAAGAAGAGATGTCGTCAATTATTATTTCTCTGGTGAGAGCTGCGAATTTCCATGATTTGTAAAAGTAGGTATTCCAGAAGACAAGGAATTTGACGAGTACATGAATATTCGAGAAAACCGAAAAATGATCCAACAATCATACGACGATTCGATTCTCATTAGGAAACAAAAGTTGGACTTCTGAAACAATTTTCGAGACCGTACCGATCGGAAAGATTTGAAATCCGAAAGAAACGAAAGCGAAAGAAACGAAACCGTAAGAAACGAAACGGAAAGAACGCTAAACCGTGCACAGTTTTGCTGAAATCGCGTGCGCAGGCTGCAAATGGGCGGGGTTTTGTCTAAATCTCTTACAGTTCCGAAATCTCTCATTCAGTTCAGATAAACCCCGCCTTGTTTTGCAGCCTGCGCACGCGATTTCAGCAAAACTGCACGGCTTATTGTCTATTCAATAAAACAGGTTGCAAAGTGACACGCCCCTTTATGAAACGCGTGAGAAGAGGGAAAAGGGAACGCGTTCCAAAATGGGCGTGTAACTTTGCAACCTGCGGCGCGCCCACGTTTTACTGAATAGACAATACGTTCTTTCCGTTTCGTTTCTTACGGTTTCGTTTCTTTCGCTTTCGTTTTTTTCGGATTTCAAATCTTTCCGATTTGTACTGTCTCCAATTTTCTGGAGAACTAAATTTTTTTTTCAGTTTCCGTGCACGTATTCATGAACGCATGGTCGAACAACCGGCGACCGCTAAGAAGACGTTGGCTCGCTTAAGATGAATCCGAACCACGTGATATCTTTTTTATATCACTTTATTTTTATTCACAGTACATTAATAAATTATCACAGATTCGAATAACTTGAAAACTTTTTGATTTTTGTTCAGTCTTAAGATCTGATGTATTTGAGTGCATAGTATGGAACGACTCCGAGAATCAGTCCGAAAATGACGCGATAGATGTACGGTTTCCATGATTTCTCCATCTGGATGATGACCTCTTTCACTTTCTCACGCAACTCATCGATGTTTCCATTGTTGTCAAGAACGATTTTTGCACGCTTCTTTTTTTCTTCTGAAAAAGAAATCCGTTCGATGACTACAGTACTCCTACACTAGGTGATTACCTATATCCATCTGTGCATGGATTCGAGATTCTGCGTCAGCTCGCGGAATGTTATCTCTTTTCATCATCCGCTCCACTTCCTTCTCGAAGTCACACCAAACTACGATAGTTGTTCCAATCCATTTATCATATCCGCTCTCGAAGAGAAGTGGAGTATCGAAGACGATGTATCTGTAATAAAATAGATTCTCATCAACTTGAAAACAGTAACGTACTTGGTTCCAGTGAAGAGAAGAGTCAGAAACTGCTTGAACATCTCCCAGCGGATTGCTGGATGAGTGATACCATTGAGAGCCTTCCTCTTCTGGAATGCAATGCTTGAAATTTGAATTTATGATCTATCATTTGAAATACCTCTGGGTTATTGAAAATAAGCTTTCCGAGCTTATCCCTTCTCAAAACTCCTCCTTGTTCGTCGTCGAAATATTCGTCTCCGAACTCTTTTCGAAGTTTTTTGTAGGTGGAAGTTCCAGGGATGACAACTAAAAATGGGTGGAAAGAGGTCAAACACCATGTTAAATGCGCAGTTTACGATTTCTGAGGCCGTATGCAAGAAAGTGGAAAACCGTTTTCCGATGTTTGGAAAATGATTTTCTGAAAGTCTGAAAATATTTTTTTCGAATTAAAAATTGGTTCTGGGCTCAAAATGACTAAAAATGCATATAACCACTGTGAAAATTCTTTCCAGCCTGTCAGAAAATCATTTTCCAAACACCGAAAAACGGTTTTCCACTTTCTTGCATACGGCCTCTGATTACAGTTCTCTGATTACGCAGTTGACAGTAACATCTTTAATAAGTTTAATAGATTTTCTAACCTTGTCTAGCTATTTGATCTGCGTCGATGATCGGAACTCCATGAGCACGGAACACACTAGAAACAGTGCTTTTTCCAGTGGCAACTCCACCGCTCAACCCCACAACGAGCATTTCAATCTGAATGGAAAAGTGTGACTAGCAGATATACGAAAATGTGTGTTTGAAGACGAAGCAAACTAGGAGGAAGGGGTATGGTTGTCATGGTGATAACTTGAATCGAAGGATGTGGTGAGAGGTAAAAAAGAATAGATAGTAGGAGTTGAAGAGGAATAGAGATAGGACGCCATTCTTTCCCAAATGGGGAGAAGACTACATGCGTTGACTATGCACCTGGCATTAAGAAAGCACTGAAGTTAACAAAAGTCATCTCAAAGAAAGGCAAAAGCTTACCGGGAAGAACAAATCAAACCAGAAAGACATTCTTGAGGATCCTGTAGTAATTACTGTTATTTTTTATACTCCATGTAAAACCCGAAATACATTGCGAGGAAACTACTATAAGCTTTTCAGAAAGTTTTCAAAACAAATTTCTTTTCATATTTAAATACATTTATTTCATTTGACAATGGCAAAAACAAACCCTAAAAACAAAAATATGATGTCAACCGAAGATCAATCAATATGTTGTCTCCTTCTCGTCGCATCTACTTCGATTCCCACTGTGGCTTTCTCTTCTCGGCGAAAGCGGTCATTCCTTCCTGAAACATATAATTTGTTTTGCGAAATTTCGATCAAAAGTTGCGGAGACCCCGGAAATTCCGGGGGAAAAACTCCGGAGAAAAGTGGGCGGAGTCGGGGGCGGAGCCTAAATTGCAACCCTGGCACGGTTTTGCCGCATGGTTTTTCTCATGACCGCATCCAAATGTGCTAAAAAACCATGCGGCAAAACCGTGCCAGGGTTGCAATTTAGGATCCGCCCCCGACTCCGCCCACTTTTCTCCGGAGTTTTTTTCCCCGGAATTTCCGGGGTCTCAAGTTGCGACGCGTCACTATGCAAGTGCGCTCCAAGAATACGCTGTTTCGTAACCGGCACGTTTCGCAGCGACCGTTCCGAAATGTACATTTCGGCACACTTCACTTAGATTTCAATTCTTTGAGAGCCCTGATTTCTTAATCTAGACAAAGTTTCACTGCGCTACTATTCAGAATGTCCAAACGACAATCAAGGCCTCTCTTCATACACGAAGGTTTCTTGCTTCGACAGCAGAAATCTCTCGCAGATGGTACAGAACTTTTATACTGTGATAAGAGGTGAGCAATAGCAAAAAACTCATTTCGTATATTTCTTTACTCTTCAGACAAACGCTTGGATGTACAGCTAGTGCCAGAAGAGTGAATGGGCACATTTTCATGAGAACAGGACACATTTTGCATGAAGCAGACGAGGAATTTGCTAACGTAGGAAAACGTTGAAAAGTCTAAAAATCTAGTATCGTAATCTATTTCAGACAAAACTCGCAAAGCATGCCTTGAAACAAATTGCGGCAAATACTACTTGCTCTCCAAAAAAGTTAATAGATGAACTGCAGTCATCATTAGGCCCAATTTCACTAGGAGGTGAGAAAAAAATACTTGTCAAAAATAATAGCGTTGTTTCAGCGTCAAGGCTTGCGTTAACTAGAATGATTCATCGTGCACGGCAAACTACAGCCGAACCCAATGCCACAGTGAAGCTTGAACAGAAACCTGAACTACTTGAAGACCATGCTGACGTGTCGGATGATCTACCGGATGCGAACATTGGAGAACTATTGCAAAATATTATAAAACAAGAAGAACCTGAGGAAGAAACTGAGATGACACAAAGCTCATCATCAAATATAAACCATTCACATCAAACAATCACCATTCCGGTTGGATCTTTTTTCGAGACTTTGCAAGATATTGTAAGATACAATGTTCAAGAATCGAACCAATCGGTGGTCGAACAGATAACTAATGTAGTCAACGAGCCGAAAAGACACAGCAGGTTTTTTTCGACCTTTTCTCAATTTAAAACATTTACTTCCAGTGAGCAGGCCAAAAAAATTTCGTCAAACGATGTCAACAATTGCATCAAAGACTTTTTGGTGAATATGCAAAATTTCGCGTCTGGAGGAATTTCTGATGGTTTGAAACTACGAACCGAAGCTGTTATCAACAAAATTAACAGCAATGTAGTGATGCTATAGATTGGATACAATTGTTAAATAAATTTTTTACAGGCACTACATATCAATTTGGAAGATGTACTGGAAGCAACACTGAGCAGCCTTGAAAAAAGTGAAGATTCCATCCCCACCTAATAACTTTAAAACAAATAAATATTACCTTTCTGTCCTTGGTAGCAAAAGTAGTATGGAAAAGACGTCTCTCAAAGTGGAGGCCTTCTTGAAGAGTCAGTTCATATGCCTTGTTAACAGCTTCTTTGGCCATTTGAACAATCAGTGGTGATTGGTCAGCAATCTTCTCTCCAAGCTTCACAGCTTCTCCGACGACTTGATCCACTGGGAACACCTTGCTGACGATTCCACGGTCCTTAGCTTCTTGAGCAGAGACTTGGTTTCCTGTGAGACAAACTTCCATAGTAAATGACTTTCCAGCAGCGCGAGCCCAGCGTTGGGTTCCTCCTGGAATTGGAAGCTTCACAAAACATTTTTTAATCAGTTAATTACCGGCTCCTGGGATGGTTCCAATGTTGATTTCTGGCTGACCAAAACGAGCTTTCTCTCCGGCATAAATGATATCACACATCATAGCTAATTCGTTGCCACCTCCCAATGCATATCCATTGACAGCTGCAATCACTGGCTTCTTGACGTCGGTGACGGCAGTCCAGTTAGAGAGAAAACTTCCAGAAAAGGTAGATGCAAACTCATTGTTAGTCTTAATCGGAGATGTTTAATTTCGTTGAAAGTAAAAGACATTGTTACCATTTCCTTGATATCAGCTCCGGCAGCGAAAGCTCTCTCGCTTCCGGTAATAACGATGGCTCCAACAGACTTATCGGTATCAAGATTTTGGAGAGCATCTGACAATTCAGTCATCAATTGAGCACACAAGGCATTCAGAGCCTTTGGTCTGTTCAATTTGACGAGAGCAACATTTTGTTTCTCTCCGACTTTCTCCACTTTGATCATTTCTGGAGCTTTGCTTGAAAAAGCAGCAACTTGCATTTGGTTAGCATTTGCGCACAATCTGACATTGCGAACAAGCATACTCGAGAAACGCATCATGGTTTGTTCGTCTGAAAAGACAAGATTCCACAAAAATCAAGGTGAAAAAGAATGCAGAGATAAATATCGGTCAGCAAGAAGAAGAAAACAAATGAAAAGATGCAACGTGAAAGTTAGAGAACAGATATGAGTGGAGACACAGACATATGAAGGGGAGCGAACGATAGAGCACATCATTTGAACTGTGATCAGTGAACGTACAGTTAGAAGGCAAATTTAGTAAAAATTGTTCAAAATGACAGAGATTATGGAATGGAACCTCTCATATATATGGAAGAGTCGAAGTTGTTTGCTTGATGAGGATTTTTTATTCCAAAATCATAAATTATTATACTGCAAGACCATGTTACACCAATTATAAATTATATGTACAAATTAAAATTAAAGCAAATAAATTATCATTTCTTTGGCACGAAAGTTTTTTGATGACTCGAATGATCACAATTGTCGTTTGACTAGTCTTTCGAATCGTTTGAGTTTGTCGATAGAAGACGTCACAGTTTGATCTGATAGTCCATCGGCAGCCAATGAAAGTACAGCATTGAATGCTTCAGATACAGATGCCGCACTTCCAACGGTTGGAAGAGCTCCTCCAATTCTAGATGTCAGACTATTTGATGGTGGTATTGGATCAGATCATGAAGCTCCTATCTTAATACGGTAGGTGTTGAGAACCGATGAATGCTCTTGTCTTTTGACTCCTTTCATTTCAAGAACGTTCTGCATTTCAGCTGCATCAGAAGCTGGGAGCAACTTGATGTATTGCTCCACAGTACTAAAACCGTATCCAAACTACACATTACTACCTGAAAGTTCAGAGTAACGAACAGTTCCATTCGAGAAAATAACTTACCTTCAGAATCATTTCAGCTTTGGTCAAGGCTGCATTCACACTTGTAACGTAGGCAGTTGGTGGTTTCGAATTTATGACACTATCAATAGAAGGGACACTCAATAAAAACGTCTTCAATGAATGAGTATCAAGTAATAGTTGTTCGGCACCATGGGTACTGATGGCACGACATCGGAACAAAGATCCAACAAACTTGTGAGCCAGTTGAGTAGCTAGCTTCAGGCAGAAGTGAGCGAAGTATTTACGACGATCAGATAGCATGTCACGAACTAAAGGAACAGCTTGTCGAAGATGAGCTCGCATTGCTCCAATAAAAGGAGACTCGTCACCAACACAGTCTACTGAACTCCAGCTAAAATAGTATAGATATGCGTTCTGTGCTGTGAGAAATGCTTACTTGACTTTACTAATTGATTGTAGAGCAGCATCACAGGTAGACTCTACATCTTGTACTAAAACCAATAAAGATTGATTAGTGATAGAATAAAATGCTTCGGTTTCTTGAGTGATATCAACGCCTGGTATCCTCTGTGCCAACTTTTCCTGTAGCTGAATCGATGTCTCTGCACACCAATCTGCTGTTGCCAGAATGCAGCAAACAAGAAATTGTTGATCAGGAGTCAGCCTTGGATAGGCGACTTCTTCTCTGATCAGACTGAAAAGGTTGGCAGCTCCAGATTGTTGTGAACCCAGTGATGGCAGAAATGCGATCAGACATGATGTTGCATAGCCACGAAGACACACCCGAACTACACCGATGACATCCCTATAAAGGTTTGTATTCTTCAATTTTTCAGTTATAGAGTGCTCTCACCTTATCAAAGCATCTGGCTCACTGCTCAACTTGCTTGATTCCGTAATTACCTTTTTCAAGAGAAGGAACATATCAGCTGAGGACGGAAACGGTACAGCATGTGTAGACGATTCCCGGGTTGGTTTTTCTTCCCCTGATCGTATTTTGCTTGCACAGGTATCCAGAAATTCGTTGAGTGTTTTTTCTTGGGCATTTATGAACACATCAAGGAAGGGGTCAAAAACACTCCAAATTGTTTTTTCAAACGATATCCCATCTTTTTCTGGGAACCGTTTTGTGAGGAGAGCTTCGAACATTTTGGTGTGTTGAATAGCATGTCCTAGTAATTTCCAATCCAGATCCTGCCTTCTTCTTGTCATTATTCTATAGAGAATGTCTCTTGTTACAATACAAAACTCGCTTGTTAGTCGTCTTCCCATATGCCAATCATTTGGGAAAATATTCGATAGTCCTGCTCGCTCAAAGTCCGTCAGTTTCCTCACGAACCATTTGTATCTGTCGTCAACCTTATCCAGCCAAGCTCCTTCTTCATTGTCAGCATAAATGATACAGTATTCACTGAGCTGTTGTTCGATGAACCATTTGACAAAGTTTTCTTTTACGTTTCCTTCCAGTGCAGCTGCTACTCTACACATATCAGTAATTCGATCACTGAGCTGTCCAGTCTGGAACAATAATGATTCATTTACTTATGGTAGACTTCGCGGTTTACCTGGAATGCATTCTTCAGATCTCTAGCCAGTTGAATTGTTAGACTAGATTTAAATTTATCTAGTTGTTCGGAAAGATTAGCGATCTGTTCTGATTCTTTGTATGCATCAAACAATTGAAGAACATTCAGAATAGCAGGAAGCTGTCTAGCAATAGAACTATAATCTTTCTTCTCCACCCAAGCTCCGAGAGATTCCACTCCAGTTAATAGGATATGAAGATGATGTAAAGTTGTTATGGAAGCCGTCAAGTTTCGTTTGGCAATGTCTAGTTGTTTGATGTCTCTTGTCATCTCTCGAACGATCTGTAAACGAGTTTCAGCATAAAACGAGGAGGCTCCAAGAACAAACCTCATCTGATGACTTTGTTCTTTCTCGTATACTGCCTATACTCTTTTCCAGTTCTACCATCGCTTTTTGTGCATGTTTTAAAGCCTCTTCTCCTCTTTCACTAACATTGGCATTCGTCTCCACTAGATAAGCCAACTCATTGTCCAACTCGCCTATCTCGCCTTCTACTGCAGCTATTACAGAATCAAGTTGAGTAAGTGATTGCTCAGTTGGGAAGAGTTCGTTAATTTGGGCAATCAAGCTCATATTTGGTTTACTATATTCTGTGACGCACATGCCTTTTATTTCACTCATAACGGTATCGGAGAGATTTAAATCATTCGGTTCTTCCATCTGAAAACGGGAATAGAATAATGAATCAAATGGTTCGAGGTATATCATGAAGCAGGTAGAAATAACAGCGATGAATAAAGCAAGAAATTCAAAGTTTTATAAAATCGAAACCTATTTATTGTAAGTAGGAGAATATCAAATGATTGCAAAAAACCCCATCAATGATATCACTAGAGTTGGCTTGAAACAAGTATCACACAATAACATGAGAGAAACGCACCCGGAAAACATGCAATAAATAAATAGGTGATTTTGAGAAATGTACAACTAAAGTTAATGTATAGAAAGAAGGATTACGAAGTTGTTGCCGTCCATCCAGTAAAATACGATGACCATGTTCCTGTTTGAGCAGTAGCCATGTGAGCTGAAATGCATTTTTAAATAATTTTTTCTCCTACACTCATTTAATATAACTTTGTATAGTTTTGATCTA